CAGTGTGGGTTGTATCAAAGAACGAATCAAATTGCCTGTTAGAAAATAAGATGGTATCCACATTAATCTGGAGACGTGCCAGATTACTGTAGTTTGTTCAGTCAAACATTTTATGGCTTACTATTTAGTTATCTCACCATTACCGATGTAACATTGTATGTACATCATAAATTCCCAGTTTCTTTCTTGCTGTACATGGCAACCCAAAAAACTTGTCAAATAAACCAAATCATTACTGTAAACCGTTCTATGAATGCTTCTATCTCCAAGACTTTTAGTTCACCAAAGAAAAAAAACTCTTGCACGCTTGCGTGCCTATGTTTAAAAGACGTGATAAGTATAGCCCCAGAGTGATTTGTTCACGAATTAGTTATTAGTAAAATTTAAATTATACGTTCCGCAGTTTGGCTAAAAGTATTGTAAAACACACGCTTTCGACTTCCTAAACTGCAATATTCAGCGGGTGAATGATGAAAGAGACGCTAAAAATTCTAAAATGTAGTGTGATGAAAATAATACAATAGATTGAGTAGAGTTATGAAAATAAACTTTAAGAATTCAATGATTTACAACCTGACCTTGTTTGCCAAATTCCTTGTGCTAACTGTTTGTGGAGTAATGTCAGAGAAAGGGGCAGATCGTTTACTATGATTTAAAAAGAAAATATCATTATAAGGAACAGGAAAAACTGCGGCCAAAGGCTCCACGGGCCCGTTTCTCGAAGGTCCCGAAAAGTTTTCTCAACCGGAAAGCCATAGCCAAAGCTCAAACCTGATGATAACAGAGCTGTTTTATCCACATATTCTTAGCATGAAGAGAGATTCCGTTCAAACAAAAAGTGTCAGGTGTTTACACCTCTCCGTTTTTAGATACAGATTAATTAAAAATGGCTTTGCGGGCCCGAAAAGTTTCCGGGGTTTTCGAAAAACAGTCCCCAGGATTGGAAATCATACATGGTCCTATGACCATATCATTGACTTTAATAACGCTTTATCGTATTAGAAAGTTTTTTGCATCCTGGCGTCAGTCTGAAAACACCCAATGTGGATAATAACTCTCGTTCATTCCCGGGACAACCCGATGCACCGCTCCCCGGGGATTATGGAAAAAAGTAATTTCCGGAAAATGCATAGACTACGAGTAGTCCCTTTTTCGCTTAGTCTGTCGTTGCGTGACGCGAAAGAAAACCGCGAGACAAAAATGACCGCGCGAAATCCTGGAGGCGAGGAGTGCGCGAAAGGAGGGACTATCACCTAAGCCNGATTGGAAATCATACATGGTCCTATGACCATATCACTGACGCTTTACCGTATTAGAAAGTTTTTTGCATCCTGGCGTCAGCCTGAAAACACCTAATGTGGATAATAACTCTCGTCCATTCCCGGGACAACCCGGTGCACCGCTGCCCCGGGGATTATGGAAAAAGTAATTTCCGGAAAATGCATAGACTACGAGTAGTCCCTCTTTCGCTTAGTCTGTCGTTGCGTGCATGACGCGAAAGAAAGCCGCGTGAAAAAAATGACCGCGCGAAATCCTGGGGGCGAGGAGTGCGCGAAAGGAGGTTCCCTCCTTTCCCGCGCTCCTCGCCTCCAGAATTTCGCGCGGCCATTTTTGTCTCGCGGTTTTCTTTCGCGTCACGCAACGACAGACTAAGCGAAAGAGAGACTACTCGTAGTCTAGACAATGGAACATTCTTCTAAGCAAAAATCCTTAAGTTATTTACTGTCCCCAAGGTGGCCATGGTGAGGAGGTTGGACTGTTGTTGTATCTCATAATGGTAGTTCAGTACATGTACAATGCTACAGTAATAAAGGGGGGGGGGGGGNCTGAGTTCTTTTTTGAGTTATTACTATGATGATCCCAACGTGTTTACCAATGATTGGTCATTCGTGTGGTGTAGAATCACCTGATTCTAGGTGGAAGGATTGATCCATGAAAGTACAGAAGTTTTGGAAACTAAAAACTAGAAACTAGAAACTGGAAACTAGAAACTGTTGCGAGCCACCTTAAGAGTTACCTTTTTAAACGTAGCCTGCAGAATCTTTAGGGGAAGCAAACCACGAAAAAGTAAAACTCGCCTAAATGGCTCTAAACCACCTCCAGGAACCCAGAGCCATCAAAATAACGAAGTGCAAACATAAGGAAAGTCATTTTATTCAAATTATTTTCTACACGCAGCGTTTAGAGTAATTTTCGAAGCATTCTCATAAATTGTCTTAGAAACGGCTAAAATTGTAACGCAATCGCCAACAGCATAATGTCACATATTAATCGTATTCAACGTCTGGGAGGCCTGTGGTTTTGAGCATAATGTTCGNCTTTAGGGGAAGCAAACCACGAAAAAGTAAAACTCGCCTAAATGGCTCTAAACCACCTCCAGGAACCCAGAGCCATCAAAATAACGCAGTGCAAACATAAGGAAAGCCATTTTATTCAAATTATTTTCTACACGTAGAGTTTAGAGTAATTTTCGAAGCATTCTCATAAATTGCCTTAGAAACGGCTAAAATTGTAACGCAATCGCCAACAGCATAATGTCACATATTAATCGTATTCAACGTCTGGGCCGCCTGTGGTTTTGAGCATAATGTTCGCTAAATATGCAGGAGTCAATGTTATTTATAATCTACCCATGCTTGCCCTTCCGCATTTGTGAACCGATACATGCAGGGGTAATGTGTATCAAGATATCTTGGATCTTGGCGACCTATTTCTGGCAAAACTTCTTCTTTGTAACATACTTTTGAGCAAGTGAAAGCTAAGCTGCGACACGTAAAAAATAAGCCATTTTCGCCATAGGGAACGTGACGCGTAACTAACTGCGTGACAGAAACATAAACAAAATAGGCGCGAAACCTTTTGGAAAATTCAAAGATCAGTTACGTAATTTATGCGCACAGGCTTGTTGCTCGGTTCATTCTTGTCTTCGAAGCGAACACAACTAGAAGCATCTGGCCACGCAATCACAACGATAGTTGGCGTTTTAGATACATCCACAACAGAAAATGGAGGCAGGCAGCGAAACTGAAAATGTAATAACTATTGTAGCGAGGCGAGCAGGAATTATGGAATCTGTTCTTCGACTTATGATCAGCTTATTGGCAGGTACGTATTTCACAGCAGTGTTTGTGTTTATAAACTTCCTTGTTTGTTGAGTCTAGGCCTAATAAAGGCCGAGACCTTGAACCAACCGTTCCTTTCACGACTAATAAAAGGACGTTAGGGATGAATGGCTTCGAAGAATGATTCCTTCGGCACAATCGCCCAATTCGGCATTCGCACAGTTACAATAAATTTGAACTTGGTGACTCAAATAACATGTCTTAAACGGGTATTTTTTAAGGGCTTAATCGCACGAACTCTGAGGACTCTAAAATTGAGGCAAAATAGAGACGTAACTATGAGTGAAAAAAAGTGCCACCTAAAGATCCTTAACAATATTGTTTATCCAATACCACTCATGCGAAAGCGAGTGTGTGTTGTGTCACTGCGTATTTTCCATTCAAGAGTGAGATTATCGTATTCAGCGTACGCGGTAAAATTTTCAGCTATCCCGCGAGAATGTTAAGTTCAGGTATGCCTAAAATACATGTCATAATTAATCTCGGCAAGTTTATACGGTGAAGTTACGGCTTGGGGCAATGTTTTTGATTTGCCACTACCCGCGCGACCTACCACTGATTGAAGTGTGCATATGAAGGGTCACGATATTGAACTCAGCACAAAACAAATCAACAAATCTTTCTCTCCATCTCTTATGGGAAACAAGTGATTTACTTGAAACGTTTGGACTATCAATAGCCGATTTATTTGTACTTTTTTACATTCCAACAAAGATTACCAATCTCTATGGAATAACTCAGTATATTTCAATGCACCTCTTTCATTAGGTTTGCCTCTGGCATTTATTTATCGAGCCTTTTGTTACAGGAAGAACGCTTCTATTCAGGTGAGAACTAGCATACAATATCAGTTCTAATTGCAATAAATATTTATAGCTATCACCAGCTATTGCATTGTTTTGAAGCTTTTTCTAATTTGCCTTGTAGCACCTATTTATCAGTGTGTGTGGACTTGCACTGGCTTTCTTTTGCTTCGGTGAGTAAACTAAAATGGTGTTAAAGATCGGCTATAAAGCAAGGGAAACTTTAACCGGCTTTAATGTGAAAGTGACCATGTCAAACGTGTCACGCAAGTTACGCCATCATTGTCATAAGGTACAATAAGAGCAATTTGTGTGGCTTTTATTTGTTAACTTATATATTTGTTTACTGCCTATTTCTTTATTTACTTGTTATTGCTAAAAATTCGACCGCAGTCTACGGCAGATGAACTTCCGTAAAGTTCCGATAGTATTAAACGGAATTTCGAAAGTGGCCATAAAATTTCAGTCGTTTGCAAATCTCGAAAGTAACGATACTCTGAAATTAACAACTTCCAAAGCAACTTGACTAAATTGAAACATTCTATAAAACAAACTATACACAGATGACCCTCATTCCCAAAGCAATATAGCGGTCAACATTGATGTGGCACCGCCAGGATTCCTCTTCGGCAAGATTCACCCAATCACCCAATCACCCCTTATGTATTGCAAAAAAAAAGTCATTACATGTCGGCAAACATATGGTACTCGTTTGAGCTACACGAAAGAAGCGTCCTCCCTGCCATTCCCTCCTCCTTTTCTCCTCCATTCCTCCTCCATCCCCCCTCAATCCCCTTCCAATAGGCGCGGCCCTTTGAAACGGCTGCTTAATCCGGAAGTAACAAGGGTCGTTCTTTCGGAAATAAGACACGCTTTTTTCATGTCGTTTCAGGTTGGTCATGTCTCCACTCCGTGTTCAACGTTCTCTTGGCTTACTTGTTACTTCGAGTGGGTGGTCCACAAACCTTGACTGTTATCCTGATGTTTCTTTTGAATGTGGTAAGCCTCAAATCCAGAGGATAATCTATTGACTTATAACAGCATCAGCCAATTGTCGGACATGGGACTGAATTGAAAGATTTAAAATCATCTGTAATTATCTTGATTGAAGGCGTGAATACAAGATGGGGCAAGTAATTGTTACGGACAACTCTGACAATATTATTTTGTGTGTGTTTTTTAGGGTTATCTGATAATTGGATATGCGTTTAAGTCTTATTCGCAAGATTACTCCGTGTCATGGACAACAGCTCACTGTGTCTTGTGTCTTCGTCTCACTGGTAAGCTAGCGACATCTCTAATACGAGACATTCAGCTACCATAGCAACCATATGGTGCATAGACCCATAGTGTAATAGCCTCTTCTCTCTGACGTTTGTTACAGTGTGCACGGCATCTTAATTTACTTTTTTGGCTGTTTGTTTCCACGTTACCTTTTGCTAAATTTTGTTATTTACGGCAAGCCTTCTTACCTGTTTCTTTGTTGTCATTAATCTTTTTTTCGATATGTAACATTACAATATATAACCCTGCAATATCTCCACTCACAGGCTTAGCGTGGGATTATTATGATGGACATCAAGACCAGGTAAGTTGGAAAGGGTTGCACAAAGCAAGAAAAGTTTTTACTTCATCACGGAGGTATAAAACCCAAACATAGTATTACAAGAACTTAATCTCTATAAAGAGTTTAAAGGTGGAAGGACATCCAATACAGAGATAAATCATGAGTTCTTGTTCCACGTTTTGTAAGTCCTGATCATTTGTATGTTTTCAGAGGAAATTGTCCGAGGATTTTAAAAGAACTGCCATCTGTCACTGTCCATCGTTGTTAGAGGTATGTAAAATTCGTTGTTGGTGAGCAATCAGCAAATTATTCACTTTTACTTGTCCAGAACGTCTTCAAAAATTATTCGTATTCCCCAGTTTTTGTAACAGTGGCTATATATAACGAAGAATTAAAATTCATAAAATGTCTCTTGGAACGAGAAGGTCTGTGGTGTCTTTCTTTGCGCAAACGTCCCACAGATGAATGAACGAACGAACGAACGAACGAACAAACAAACGAACGAATGAATGAATGAATTAGGAAAATAATGATATTGATTCGGATAGTTCGATGCTTCCTTCGCTAGAATTACCAATACAGTGCACATATTTGGTGTCTTCTTATTCAGTTGGTCCTACCTAACATGTAATATGAGCATCACTACTCCTTATTTAAGTTTTTTTTTT